TTTCTTTTCCAACATCCACCAAATCAAATCTCGAGGTACTCTATCATAAGCTTTCTCTAGAGAAAAAAACTTCAAAAAAAGCTTAAAAAAATTAAATATAAATATATAAGTCTATGTTTAGATGCATATCACAAATCTAACAAAAACCTTAGTACCTCACAAAAATAAAATTAAGACCTAAGTTAGACAAAATACTACTATGCAAATACATGAAACATATTAAAGGGGTCGTCACTCGGTGTCACGATAAAAGGCTCGGATAGCCAGTGCAAGAGCACGGGTTTGGGTCCTAAGAGCGCACTTTGTGCATAAGCTAAAGGTTAAGACACTTTCAAGCCCACCCCTCCCGATACCCTGCTTAGGCAAGACCATCACCGGGTTACGGCCCTTTTTTTTTTAAATACATGAAACATATTGGTTTGACACTAAAAAAGTGGAAAATAAACTATAGAACTACATATGATATAACTAGTGCATCTATATTCATGAATTTATACACCATTGCATAGACATTGATCAATAATTGATAATAGCAGAGATTAAAAAAAAAAAGCGATTGAAAATAATATGTATATATAAAATAAAGGGTATACAACTATAGATTATATTCTAATGAAGCATAGTACAAAATAAAGATGTACAGACCATATGAATGCGTGCACTAAAAAATTGGGTATAATGAAATCCCCCAACCGCCCATGGAGTGGGTGAAGATGAGGCAATCAAATTGAGTTTGTCCCAAGAGGCAGATCGTTGCTGGGGTCTATTAGGACCAAAGATGCCAAGAATTTCAAAAGAAACTTGTCAAAATTTCAGTACAAGAAAAGGGAAACCGAGAAAGTCCCCACCAATTTAGATAGAAGGGTATGGACAGTCGGGTCTCTAATGACACTGATTCCCTTGGAGGCACCACAAGCCTCCAGGGTCACCAATTAAGAGGGGTGTCCGCCCCAAACGCTTGAGATTTCAAGAAGGGTATGAGAAGATGATTTTGTTTCCAAGATGGCAAAAAAATCTAGAATGTTATATGGGAAGAGTAAGGACGGCCCTCTTCTTGTGAGGGTCACTAAGACCACATTTATTCCCTATAAAGAACTTCATTTGGAAACAACATATGCAGAAGCCAGACGTTTGGAGGAACATCAGGAATAGAAGACGAGGGGAAGAAGATTAGGGTTCAGACCCCTGCAAGGGTCAAACCTCAAGGGAGACAGTCGGTCACTAGAAGAGTTACTCATTATGTTGTCCTATTTAGACCTGAGAAAATCTGCAATGTCCAAGGACAGGCCATAGTACGAGAATCTCATAGTGTGGAGCATATTTTCGATGAAAGGTTCTTTGTCAATCCTCTTAAGCTCGAAGTTGTCCTGAAGGGGAAAAAGGGGGATGCGGCTAACCGAGTCTCATGTCAAACCAATGGCATTAGCTTGGCTGAGCAACTTCGAGGCAATGGGGATTGAGGAGAAATCTTGCAAGGTCGTAGGAGATGAAAGAGGGTTTGGAGTGGCAAGTCAGGTGACAGAGAAGTAGAAGGGAGGAAGACATGAAAGAGGGCTCTGGGGGAGCAGCTGGGAAGAGCTAAATTGGGGCCAGGGGGGTTTCTCAAGTTTCAGCTTGGACGTGGAGGGAAGAGTTGGGGCGGTTGAGGCCAAGCTGAGGGAAATAAAGTTGGGGGTGGCAAAAGGGAGGGATGGAAGCTGAGTGGAGGAGGTGGGAAAGGATTATCCAACGGAATAACACAGGAGTGAAAAGGTGGAAATTGGTGATGGTAGAAACTAATCCGGTGGTAAATGGACCAAGGCATTGCACGAGTTAAGTCCTAGAGCATTGATGAACGACAGAGGTGCGGACAAAGAATGGAGACATAGCAGAACTTGTGAGCCTGGGGATACATGATTTCTGAGAACGTAAAGAAGGAACCTGGGATGTACATTGGAGGCACGGCCGCTATGTGAGGAGGTGGTGAGGTGAATGGAGAGGGTGGCCAGAAGTTGTGGTCCACCATTGTCTTTGCCAGGTAATACTTAAGACAACATCCTTGCCTTCGGTAGGAAATACTTAAGATAGTTGATATTGCCTCTAATATCTTTCCCATAAAATACAAACTTCACACAAATCTTTTTTTTTTTTTGGCAGGATTTAGCCTTACTTCGAATTGCCATGCTAGAACTTCTCCCCTCCCAAAAATAAAAAAAAAAAGAAGAAAAGACATCTTCTAAAACTACAGCAACCAGTCCATTTAAAGTCAAATCTTGTAACCAATGTTCTAAGAGCCGACATAGGTAGCATAAACTACCATGGAAACTACCAATTATCAAAAAACAAAGTAATACAAATTAGTAATTACAAAAATGTGGGGATATGCCACCTTTTTCTTGTATTAGTAACTGTAACTAAGTAATTAGCGTTTACAAATATTTTGTAAAAAAAATCTTCCTAAGCAATTACAAACAACTACAAAGGTAATATTCCTAAACAATATTATGCAAGTAATATTGTTTATTTTGTGGATTTTTTATGAAAAGTTCGTAATTTAATAATTAAAGAGTACAAATGCATAAAGATTGGCCAGAACAATTAAAATCAATCGCAATAAAGGTAATAATCGTATATGCTGTAAGTAACATTATTAATTTTGTAGATTTTTTGTGAAAGTTTTGTACTTCCATGACCAAAAGATGCAAATGGGTCAGTAAACCTTAACACAATGAAGAAAAACGTGCAAGATATAGAAAGAAAAAAAAAGAATCAAATACAAACATAATGAAAACTAGGAAAATTCTTGAAAAATAGGTAAAATACGGAAAATCAAGTAGGGCAAAAAAAGTTATAGTTACATATGAATTGCACTAAAATCATTCTAATTGTGCTTTTTCATTATTTCTAGATGTTTTTCAAAATAATCAAATATAAAAAATTGTAAAGAAAACAAATTCCAATGATGCATAGATTGCAAAAAGTAGACCACGAACAATCTAATTGGCATTCAATGGTGTAAATCTGGCCCTAAAAATTCCAAGTTTCAAAACCCTGAAGAGCTGCCCAAATTGTTCCCAAAGCATTCATCCTAAAACTTCGAAATGGATTGCTTTTCAGTTCAACCAATTTGAAGATCGAAAATGGGTTTTTCCACACGCATACACACCAAAGAAAAGAAAAGAAAAATGCAGATCTTGGATATATGAGTTTTTGTGAAGTGTTTTTGTTTTTTTGGGTTGAATCTAGAAGGGGGATTTATAACGTTAAGGGAACAATTTCGCCCTATTAAAAGCTTTAGCGTAACCAAAACAACGAAATATTTACTTTTATTTTCTGACAGATTACACTAATAGAAAAAAGAGTCAGACTCGGCAAGCCCCTAAAGACACACCAGAAGCTCGCAACGTCCTTATCCAGACAAAAAATCGCCTATAAAGGTTTTGGAAATTACTTTCAAAAGTCCCCTACATGACCATTTAGGTCCCCTCCTAAAAAGGTCCTCTCTCCATTTAGTATGTTTTGGACTATTCCATCTATGTCCTCCCAAAATTGTCTATTAATTATATATATATATATATGTATATATATAGAGAGAGAGAGAGAGATTATCAGACATGTAGAATGGTTATCCTTTATAAATAACAACATAATAAAAAGCAAAATTGAGTTTTTATCGCCATCACAAGGGGAGATTTAACACACGTGTAGCAGTAATAGGAACTGGATAAGAAGAAATAAACGCATGCATCCTGCTGAAGTGACAAATAATTGGAGTTTTCTCCTTCTTCATTGTTCCTATTATGTAAATATTATAGTTTATTTCTCTAATTTTATTTGTCCTCTTCTTGTTTGTCTTCTTTTTCCCTTTGTTTTACATGCCTTCGTACCTATTTACAGGAGAGAGAGACAGAGCGATAGAAAGAGGAAGAGCATTGATTTATAAGTGGAATATGTGGCAAGGCAATGTTCCATGTGGAGAAGTGAGTGGGGGTCCAAATGCCAAAGAGAAAAGTGAAGCATTGATTAATAAGTAGATTAGATGGCAATATGTAAGTGTTCCATGTGGTAAAGTGAAGTGGGGGTGATAAAAGCCAAAAATGAGAAATAGTGAAAGGAGAAAAATGATAATGATTACAACTGATAAATGTACAAAAGAAGAGGGCCAAGGCACCTTGGCGAGAAAGGTGCCCACCTAAGTGAGAAAGGTGCCCACCTAGGTGAGAAAGATGCCACCTAGGCAGGCGCCTAGAGGCTACACCACCGAGGTGCCTGCCTAGGGGCAGGCTTAGGGGTTTTTAAAGCTTGGCCACCTAGGAGGCTAGGCGGTTGAATTCTTTAACACTGTTATAACCCAAATACCTGATTGAGGGGGAAAAGGAAATCATGAACTTTCATCCATTTAGCTCTGTAATAAATACAAAGTGCAACATTTGCTAGCAATAAGAATCATGGATTATAGAGAACTCTGTCCTGTACTCACAGAATCACTCTTGCCGGACAAGACTATTAACCTAGTTGAAAGGCATCTACAACCATAAAACAAGTTCTTCTATATAGGTACAGATAACGGTGGTTGACACAGGCACAGGGAGAAAAGAGCATACCATTCTTTGGAGAAAGCTGCCCGCAGTAGATAATAATTATTGTCTGACATACTTTAAAATCTCCCCCTCCATGAGCCCTCATTGTCACATAAATGTGCATTAGCACACACAGTTAATGGTCAGCATTCCTATGTAATCATTAACTAATAACCAATAGGTTAATATGCAATTCTCTCTTAATTATGAAAAAAGGTATTAACTCTTATGAATTGAATTCACAATCCTACTAGCCACAACTACAATCTCATAATTGCCGTCCAACAAGTCCTGATTTAATATCTAACATACTGAATCTCCAATTGAAGATATTGTTTTAATGGTAAACATATTTTAGTATATCACTATATCTTCTATGAATCTAAATAAAATCACAAAACATATGAGAGTACCATCTCAAATAGGCCTAAAGCAATATACCTTCAGCTGCTCCAAATGCGACATTAGCCTCTGGAACAATGATATAGCACCTGCTTGATCAATTTTTTGGGTCAGAAGTTGTATCTCATTGAGGACACTAGTTTTCCTATGATCCTGTAATGTGGAAAAGCAGAGGTGACGTGAGAATACACAAATATGAATCTGAGAAGACGACAAATGAAGAAAATAAGAATGGAACTCATAAACAAAATCTAAGAAAAATAACAGAACCAAGCCCGTTTTCAGAGTGACCTTCATCTAGAAGTTGAAAATTATATAGGGGTTTCCTTTCCTCCATTCTACTTTTCCTGGGGGGAGGAATTGTTGGGTAAGGGTAGCATTGGGTATTTGGTTTTAATTGGCTTCAATCTGTAAATACAAGAAGTACAACATCGGGCACACATAGGTCCAAAGCGTACCTGCTCACTCAGGCTGCCATGTAACACTTCTATGGACTTTTCTGTATCAACTAGCAACTCCTGAAGTTGATGCACATTAAAATTCTCCTCCTCAATTTTGTACATAAGGACTGCAACCTAAACTTTTGTCACATAAGATATGGGAAAAAAAGTTAAAACATGAGATTTTCAAGGGCTTATTTTACAGAACATTCCTTGCACTGCAGATGCATGACCATGGAAAGATGCACTTGTCGCTATACACAATACATTGCAGGTGCATCCCTACATGAATCATACTCCAATGGCTTGGCCAATTATCAAAAATAAGTTTAGTAATGAATAGATGTGTATGTGTGTCATATGTGCACGAGTGTGTAATTTGTCTGAAGCAGAACACAGCTATAATGCACCCATGCAAAATCATAAGTGACAAGGGGAGAATTACCTGATGCTGCGGATCTTCATTATATTCTCCGTCAATAATGCCACTGTTCATTAATGAACTTTGTTTATTGCCCAAATGCAAAATTTCTGTTGGTGCTCTGGAAATAAACATTTCTATACACATCAAAATGCAAGAAAACTATAAACAACAGCGAGAAACCAGATATTATCTCTTAGAAGCAAGTATGCTTCTCCAGAGGTGATACTTCCATTCCCAAACACAATTCTTAGGTGATTCCCAAGCAGTTCTTATTCAAAATTCTTATTGAAAGTAAAAACAGTAATGAACAAAAACAAATTCTTGAAGAACTTGAGGCCCTTGATGCAAAACAAAGCTACAGATACTCTGTGATAATATAATAGACTCCTATGATATCATCAAATGCTTATTGATAATGATATAATCGTCTTATTTAAAATAAAAGTGGTTTCTGTCTTCAATAGTTGATAGATATCCAACTTGAAAGTCGATGGCTACCCTGTAGAAATACATAGCATTCAGGAAGGTAAACTGATCACCTTTGAACTCCTGAACCATTTTCTGCCGAAGCAGGGCATGTTTCGCTGAAGATGTGTATCAATCAGTTAGCTTCTATCACAGGTAAAAAAATTAGAAAGCTCATGAGTAATGAAAGAAAGGATAGCAAATAGAGTCATGAACTCTATTATTATTATTATTATTATTTAGATGGTGACAAACATTACCTTTTCTGAGCCATTCGATGCAATAATTGATGAAAACTGGATCCATTAACCCCTGGAGAAACATCCTGAAACAAGAGAGATAGAAAGCATCATGAATTTGAAATCTACACCACATGTTCCACATTTGACAGTGTTATTGAGAACATACATTTCTTTCTGGATTACTGGAAGGGTCTTCAAGCAACTCAAAGTGGTTTTGAAACTGTAGGTGTGAATAGCGCCTTAGCTGATACAACAAAAATTGTAAGAAACTAAGAACTGGTTCCAGGCACTGTTTTAAAATAGACAATACAACATTTATAATACAATACAATACAACCACACCAGTGTTTAGTTAAAAAATGCCACCAAGCATGGCCAAGGATCTGTCTCTCCAGAAGACAATCAAATAAATACATCAAAAGGATAAATCTGCAGAATGCAGAGGAATCAGGGCATTAAGAAAAATGGTTATCTTAGAACAAAAAGAATCCAACACTGATAAAACTGGACAACTATAATCAGTCAAGAATTAATCTTTTCATGGGATGCGTGGGGATGCTAGAGGTAGATTATAATGGCAAACTTAGGGGTCATTTCATTCATTGGAGATCCATCTCCACGAGAAAGATTTCCAAGAAACTGGCTTCATACCTTCTTGGGCATGAAGATGCTTCCCCACCAAACCACGGAGATTTCCCAGATTTTGTATAGCGACAGGCACCATGGAGATTTCTCAGAGAGAAATTTCCACAAACCAAACATAGGAATTGGCTTGGTCAATGGAAATCTCTGTCCTAGAGAGAGATTTCAGACATACCAAACATGCCTCTAATCTTTAGGGGATTTGCTCAAAACCTGAGTTTGATGCCTCTTAAATAGTTAAAAAGATTAAAGCGATGTTTAAAAAACGGTACTACAAATTATGATTCATTGTCTGACCTCTATGATATATGTGGTACATCATTTACATGTTTTGGCCCATCATAATTCATAAAGAATTCACCAATGAGACACGTACAACGAAACCAACAGAAGTATTATCGAGAGATGACAAGAAAACAATTGTTTCAAACAAAGAAGGCAGTCCTCTCTCATTAGTTGGCTATGCATGAATGATCAAATCAACTGATACACTTTATTTCTCAAGTGACCAAAGTGTACAATTTATATTGCATTATAAATCACAAATGTCCAATATACAATCTATATGGGTATAACAATCATAAGCAATCATATCTGATGCACAGTCTCACCTCAGCCCCCAACTCTTCTCGCATAGTCAAAACACGACTTACGATCCATTGGATTACGGGATAGACTCCATCATAATCTAGGCCTTGAAGCTGATGAGCATGGAGAGGAAATGGGCATTCCATAGATCGTAATGCTGCTTCAATGGCCTCACCAACCTTACTGTATTTCAAATGCCATCAAATCAAAACACTACCTAACAGCATTACCAATTAAGAACAAGAAATATTAGTGTACAGCACAACGCAACCAAAGACAACCCGTTATTCATAGTTCCAAATGTGTAAATTGAATTGATAACTCAGAGCACATACATTATCATTGGAAGATGCCTTCCCAAACAATAGACCATAACTTGCACATAACTCTCAGTTTAACTTAACACAGAAGGTATTCACAATAACATGAAATCATTGAAGATCAATAGAAGTATTAATCCTAGAAAAAGGACTATATTTTTATATTTTATTTCAACAATTTACAACCAAAAGATCGCAACCAAAAGAGATAAGGAAAGATAGAATTAGTAAGGGCATTCCACATATGATAGGCCAAATCGTAGGAAACTGAAAATCAATATTTATGTTGTCATTTATAGCAGGGTGTGGTTGGTATAAGGCCGAAGTAAGACACACCTTCAGATACTGCCGAAACATGCTGTTTCAGTTTCAGAAATCTTTGTGATAGCCTAAATTTTCATCTCTAATTATAAAAATTAAAGATTCAATAATAGTGTAGATCGCGCATATATATGAACACTTGAACATTAACGGTCAAGATAATACATTAGAAGATGCACTATTTCCGAGGCTTAAATTCTAGTTTTTCTCATGTCCATACATCTTGAAGTCGAGATGATCGAATTGAGGGTTTTTCAATATCGAAACAACCTCTTCTAGTGTATTTTTGAGGTGCGCCTTAATTTGATTGTCGAGTGCCCTAGCCTTATACAAACTTTTCCTTCATAAAAAAGGTAACTTAAGACAACCGCTGATAACATAAATGACCCAGAAAATGGACATGCAAATATGGTGATGCTTATCATTGTTGACAAGCCAGAAAATGGACATGCAAATATGGTGATGCTTATCATTGTCGACAACAACTAAATCCCTTCTCATTTATTTTGGACAGTTGACCTGGATTACGTGATTGACCAATCTCTAACATGAATATAAAACATGCCAATTCATCATAAGAAAGCAAATACCTAAAATGTCTCAAATGTGACTCTAGAAATATGACATGTATACTGGGGTCGAACTGAAGTTGTTGCAATGAAATCATCAACGAGATTCTAAAAATGCGGTATCATAGTAAAGAGTGTAAATTTTGTGGATCTTCCAGACAAATAACTAGTTTCAAAAGAAATGCTGCAAATTATACTTTACACCTACGGAGAAAATTAAATATTCATATGAAACACGCAATCGACAGTGGATCAATGAGGTACCTCATAAGGGATCAGTTTCTTTTCTTCATAAATTAGTGGGCGACAAATTTTTCCAATCGATTGAAGTAAAATTATCAATGTTCAGAAAGTCTTGAGTAACCGGCCTCAGCAACCTGCTGAGGGGAATTTATGTGCCCAAAAATCACAAATTTTGCTACCAAAAACACTAACATATGATTTATGCTCCTATACAATTTTTTGATTTTTTATATCCCTTAAAAATCACAAATTTTGCTAACAAAAACACTCACATATGATTTATGCACCTTTATGATTTTTGGATTTTTTATGATGATTTTTTATATTGTTATATGCTTTAATTTTCTGTTTTTCGTTTCTTATTTTTTTGAAACATTTCACGGTACAAATCAATTTTTTCAATAACCCATCTTTTATATATATTCTTTCTTCTTTTATCCACTGTTAGTGATTACTTTTTTGAGATAATTCAATGTTTAGTGTTAAAAAGACAAAATTTAGTATAAAAAGGTGGTATGGCAGCCCACAAGATGAGTGCTCCGTATAAAGCAAGATTAGAAATCTATAATTTGTCCAAAAAATATTGAGCGCCATTCTAGGGAAGGGAAGAAGAGAGGTTTGCGGACCCATTGCTCAAAAAGGCGCTAAAATAAAGTCCCAGCCGCAATTCTTGAGAGATCTTTCCTTTGTGAGGCCATATGCTGCCAAATTTGCATCGGCCACTATACCACATAGGCCTGCAAATTTCAAGTATTTTATCAAAAAAGTGCTCCAATCTCCACAGACAAGGAAAAGCATCTGACGCCCACGAGATGACATTTTTGGAGCCCTCCTCAATTAACAAAATGGGCCCCAAAATTGGTTAAACCTTCCTAGGCCCACAAGAAGAGCACTAGTCCCAGCTGTGGAAGAGCCGACGTGAATTTGCCCTGAAAACAATAGCAGAATTTTGCCCTCATGGTCTCCAAAAATACCCTGATGCCAACAGGACTCGGGTTACCATGTGAGTAGTCACCAAAATTTACTTAGTTTGGCCTGTTCTGGTGGTCTCCACGAAGAGAAGTGAAAGATCTGCAGTGGCCTAAAGTTGAGCAAAACCTACCAATCTTGAAAGAAATCTGAGTTGCGGTAATGGCTAAACATTTTATTGTTCTTAGCCCAAAAAATCGCAATTGTTTTATTGAGACCTTTGAGAGCATAAGGTATAGCCTCCTTTCCATTGAAGATCATGTTGTTCCTCTTGGTCCATACCACCTACAAGGTTGCAGTCACAACTACACACCAAATGGAAGATGCCCGACCTCAAATAATGTGGAGGTTCATAGGAAAGGAATAGATGTGAGACTGATTTGGGTTCACCCAATTCCAGTTGAATTTCTCTAACAAGAATCCCCACAAACCCCAAATGACATCACAATGTAGATTGGTTTCTTCCGCTTCTTTGCACATAATTCATCTGTTTGGGATCGGCAAACCCCTCATACGGAGTTGATCAACTGTGAGGGCTCTCTCGGACAGGGCAATCCAGCTGAAGAATTGAATTCGGAGGGAAGGATGAGACCCAAGCACAGGAGATGAGAGAGAGGTCGCGAGTGGGGAAGGCTGGAGGCAGCTGCAATCTTCCATAAAAAGAGGAAACCGAGAATATCCCCAAAGCAACAGGCTTCCGAATCAGTTGGTCAGGCCAGAAGTGGGGAGGAAGGTGATTCATAGTTACCAGGATCACCCAAGAAGGTGGTCACTCCAGCTCCAGAAGCTCGGTCCTGCATTTCAGGACAAGGGATCTTGATTCTAGATGTTCTACGAATTTAGAGATCTTGGTCTGCAAAAATGGGGATCTAGATCCCTGGTTAATGGGATATAGATACCTCTTATCCAAATCATGAGTCCATGAGTAAGTGATATAAAACCTCCACCAAAATGGAATCAAGTTTCTTGTACATTAGTACGGAAGATCACCAGCACATTTTGAGTCTCATGCACTGGCTACCCCACCCTTCCCCTCTCTAACTCCGTAGCCCATAATCTCTCTCTCTCTCAAAGACCATATTTTTTAAAAACATCCGAAATCTGAATTGACTTTCGATATAGAGATGCCCCAGTTGAAAAACATTCCCAATTCCCACAACATCAACCAGGGTTTGAAGCTTGAAGTCTGAACTTTGAACATGTAAGTCATGAAAATAAACACCATAACATACAAGCTGCTGCCATATTATGTTATGAAATCTATAGGTGAAGGAGAGCCACTGCAAAACTAAAGATTCTCCATATCCTACACTAAATGCTTTGCATTTCACTTATTGGAAGCTCTATACGTTTTATACAATTGATCTTTGTCTCTAATGCCCTCTTGTTGACCATATCCCTCATTACAGAGACCTTTGCAGCTTGACGTTTGTTTTCCTCTGAATCTAGAGAGCGTACGACCAGTTGCATGCCCAATCGCATGTAAGTGAAAGGTCCCAAACGAGGGAAAACAAGGACACTGTATTTTCATCAAATACCATAACTTCTTTCATGCCTGAGGACTGAAATTTGAATCATCATTTTGTATTTTCAGTTTCACTTCTCACTTATGAAACACACTCCAATGATAACAAAATTTTAAAAAATACTTTAAAAATGAAATTCTTTGTATTCAATGATGCTTTAATTTTCAAATTCAAAAAAAAAGAGAAACATTAATCATATTCAACGGACTTCGTTCCCGAGCTAGAGTACTCTAGTTAAGTTCTCTTTGGGAGCGTCAACTCTAAGCTGGACAAACCTTGATTCCATATACTTTACCATTTGATCCTATATAAATTTGGATCGTACTCCCAGCTTATTGGGATCGCAAATCCTTGAACTCATAGTGCATGGATCTTGATCCCTGTCCCATGGATTTCCGTGCATCTCTCAATCCCGAGGTCCAGTCGCCAAATCTAAGATATGTTCTCACTCCCAATCCTGGTAACTATGAGGTGGAATGTAGTAGAGAGGAAAGGGAAATGAATTCAAGATCTAGGACCAAACATTCGAGGAGTCCGGCAATTCGAACTAATCCGCAACTACTGCTTGAGGGTCATAGGCAATAAGGAATAAATTGTGCTCTCTTGAAGGGTGGAGTTCCCGATCCACAAATCAGTTCAAACCCTGACTCTATTGCCTTACCCTGCCCTAAAGCAAATGTTATCCCGAAAGAGGTTGTAGCTCGCTATTATACTTCGCCATGCCCCAGAGTACCAGCCGTTCTCAACACCTCAAGGGAGCCAAGCCGAGGCAGCAAGTTTATGATCAAATTTCTCGATGAAGGAATCACAAAGATGCTTCTTCAGTTTACTAATGACAAAGAAGTAAACCAAGGTAGGTCGACAATAGCTGGTCCACTCCACGTCCGAGTTGGTCGGTCGGCCAGGTCATGAACCACCCTTGCCTCAAAAGCAACACCCATCATTTTAGATTTCACCATGTTATGCTTGAAGCCGGTGCTAGCTCAAAGCATTTGAGGAAGAGGAAAAGGTGGCCCACCTGCTAAGGGGTAGCATCACAAAAGACCGAGGTGTCATCTACATGTGAAGATGAGAAATAACCTGGCCTTGATAACCGATAGTAGTCACTTGGTAACCACTATTGGTACATTCTCTATGTAGACCTACTAAAGATTTCAGCCACTATCATGGAGAAAAAGGAGAGGGTCACCTTTATGAAGGCCCCTAGAGGAAAGGAAGACACCTTTAGGGGAGCC